TCCGAAAACATATAATTTTTCAACAGAGTGTTTAAAAATAAATGATAATTGCGATTGACATTGTTGGCAAAAATCAAACGAAATTTTTAGAATTTTACTGCCTAGGCATTAACAAAAGAAAAACTGATAAGATATATTATTTAAATAAATTTTGGGATAAATAAATATCAACTCACCTGTTCAGTCGATGAGGACATTTTAACTCGAATGGCAACAGACGAACCAAAACCATAGACGAATATTAAACCATACCAGTGCCGACCTTGTTAATATTAGCCATTTATTAGTATTAACGTACCAACAAAATAACCAAGTGCTACAGTTTACGTTAAAAACATAATAATTTATCAAAATTTGAATTTATTGGAAAACGTCAACAATCTAAATTTGCAATTATTAGTTCAGTTAATTATCGTAAATTATAACACATTCTAGCAATACCCGAGCAAGCATTAATATATGAGGATTTTTCAGAAAAATTTCTTTTCTGTAATTACTGAGATCTTTCTGATTGCTTCACAAGTGGCCTTTATTGAAAATTTAACACTTATTTAGGTAGCTGCATTTAAGACAATCGATTACCTAAAATATAAAGAGATAATAAGAACTAATATAAATGATTATCAAATTTTTTGAAAATTTAATATTTATTTTAAGAGTTTGAGAGCACATTTGAGATAGATTTTCTAAACAAATAGATATTTCAAGGCATGCCTGTATACTTCAAAAGGCAAACTTCTGCGTAGAAATACAAACCGGTTGGAAATATGTTTAGTGACGAGGATATAGAGCGCTTTTTACTCCATTACGCTCAGATTCAGTGAAAATCATTATGAAATAATAAAAAATATTAAATTAATTGTAGCTTACAAAATGGAAATGAAAATACGTTATCTTATAAAGAAGGGAAATAAAGTTTTAAAATGTAAATTCAATAATATCTTAAACAATCGTCATAATAAAAAAATGTTCTTCATTGATACTAACATGTTCTTGGTGTATCAACTGATGCTTAGGTTGCCACAAACAGAAATCATCGACAGTATTCTATTCAGAAAACCAATAGTAGTGAGAAATTAAAGTGCTATGGCATAACGACAGTGCAAAATTGGGTGATAACAGAACAGTGAAGGATAGGTATAAGAACAACAGAATAGGCAATGTGTAGCGCTAGAAATCATAGTATGTAATTGTCCGTTAAACAATTGCCGTTTCCCTCACTATTATATTAGAATTATATTATATTATATTAGAATCAGCATCTTGGTAACCGTCTACCATCCATTTCAAAATTTTTATTTCCCTGAAATGCTAGTTTTCGATAGAAATAATGAGCAATACTTGTGTTGCATAAATGATTTATTATAGTACTTTTCCAGAAGATTCGATCTAGCTTGGAGAAATATTGAAAAATAAATGCAGAATTTCAGCCTTCAGAACGGTATTAGCCTTTTCAAGAGAATATTTGAATTATTGAGTCCCATTCCATCTACTTTATGCGTATCTATCGTTTATACGACTTAACTTGATATTACCTCACGAAGAAGGGGTGCGTAACAGACTTGCCTCCACATGGTGCACCCTGGGCATCATATACTTATACGGCAAAAAAGTCTATTGATCAGCAGTTGACTACGGACTTCAAACTACTATTGCCCAACTATTTGTCATATTTGACTCCTGCGTAATACTCATCTTACCTTTTTTATGCCTTTGTGTCTGTCTCTTTTACATCTGTGAATCACTCTTCTGTTCCCCCTCTCGACTTTTTGTCACTTTGATATTTCTTCTCCTCTCTGTGAAACCCCGAAGTCTGCTCCAGGGCTAATGATAACTATCAAAACGCCTGCCATTTGATATAAATAATTTCGTCGGACTTCGCCGTTATCTATGATTTGCTTTTCCTTGAGCAAGACACTTGTTCCATATCTTCCTTTGCAACACCACAGACACTGTTTGTACTGTGGTTTCCACTTCCTTTAAATTAAAATTTCGTGCCATTATTTTGCTCTGTATCCAAATAGTTGCGAAGGAAAAATTATAATAAGTTAAAACACAATCTGTTAAACCGATTTCCAACAACTATGAATACGCCAACTTTTCCATTTGATGTAAATAAATAAAACTTCACGAAGAACTATTTGTAGCGGATTGCTACACTGTAAAGCCTGACTGACTCAGAAATCTCTGTGGCAGATTCACCAAGATCCAGCTGGACTCTCAGAATTAGCTAAGTTATAGCCCAGCTATAAAGGAAACAGACGTATAGCACGGAACACGTTTATTCAGTACGGATATTGCGGATAAAGTGTAAACGCAGGGAGCTTAATCATGATCAGGAAGGCGGATTAGGTTAAACAAACAGAGGCTACTGTTTGGCCACTGTTGTACGGCGGCACCTCCCAATCATGGCGTGCAGGCATGCGATTGCGCGTTAAGCGATGACGTGCCCACATATTTCATCAGCTACTTATGTAAATTACATACCCCTAAAACGAACTTCGTTGATTTAGATTAATCTTGGGTGTTTCATTAGATTAAGCGATACACCGTCGTGCCAGTGATTCTGTTTTCTTGTTGTGTGGTGTGTCAGAATTATATGAGCTAGCTTTAAGCGTTAACCATGGTTTACTTCCTAACTATAAATACTTATAAACATATTATTTCCTAAGTCTATTTCACCATTGATTGGATAGCCTCACTCTTCATATTGCCATTGTTATGGATCCCGTAACAAATCAATGTATTGACAGTATGGAATAAGCTCGTGCAATCAGAATGTTCCACATTCAAATCACATTTCATCGATCCTAATGATACTTATTTGAACACTCACCAAGCGGAGCACAATTTTTATCCTATACCCAATTTTTTTTGGACTTATTAATAGTTTTAGATTTTATTTACCCGAGCCAATATTAACCAATTAGCATTTACACCTTCGGATGTAGAGTGCAAAATGAATGCACTAGCACGTAAGTTTTCATCTGATAATACGCATGCAACATGACCACTCAATACTGGAGGAACGAAATAACATTTCGATTTCATTGAATGGACGAAAGTTTCAGAAAACTAATCCTCACACCCATGAGCAAAGGTCTACTCTACATGTCTGAGGGAAGTTTCTAATCGCTATCATCAACTGCTGAAGCACTAAGAGATGAAAACAAAATTCAATTGATTAGGGAAATAACACATAGAGAAGTGCTACAAATCATTATCACGCCTTCTATTTAGTATTAAATAAAAACACAGGACAATTACGTTAATATTTTTCATTAGAAATAGAAGAAAATCAAGTAGAGAGAACGCGGATTAGCTTCATCAATGACACTTTAAAAATCACGAGTACCACTTCAGACCCAAAGCAACTTGAATGAAGGCGAAAATATCAGCCAACTCGTCGATCTAAGGATATAAAAAAAGAAATTAAGCATTATGCAGATACGAGGATATGATGCTTTCTACCAAGGAGCAAGAAAGGCAGCAATTTTGACAATAATGACAGGGGTTAGAATAAGGGGCAAGGTAGCATAAACATGTAAGCATGGTGAACGACACCTGAATTCTCAATTAAATGTACTTCAACTACCTTAGAGTCTACATTCGTACATTTTTACTAAAAACGTTTAGTGCTAAGTCGAATAAATGAGATGTCTACATAAGAATGCAGGTCTAACCGACATAAGCCGATATGTATTGGGAGAATTTTAAAAGAATCACTTGCCCTTTTGGAGGTGGGTTTGCCATCACCATGTCCTGCATTGGTCTCCACAAGAATGAGAAGGGGGTTAGTTTGAGAGGCAGATCCACGGCCCACCTTCTCTTGCAAAGTGGCGATGAACTTGAGCGAGTGTAGAGGCACAACTCTATCGTCATGATCAGCTGTCATGACCAATACTGCAGGATATTGAGTGTCTTTTTTGGCTGGTGGATTGATATTGTGTAGCGGTGAATACCTTAAATATTGAAAGTTTTGGTTGATAATTAACGCAATAATAAATAGACAAAATTTAACCTCATTCCAATATTAGAGAATAATTCATCAGAAATCTAAAAGCCATCCATAAATGTCAACATGACATTAACCTAAAAATGTAGACATTTCAAATAAATGAAGCCATTTTTACATTCTGAATTTCAACCTCTGTTTCTACTTTATCAATCTCATTTTCATCCTGCATTAAGACTGTAATATAGAAGATATGGCAATAATAATTAATATCAGAGCTATAAATACTAATCATGATCCTCTGATAGAGCATATCACATGGATCTATTTCTTTACAACTCAAAATAATAATGTTGCTCAATGTGATCAGCAAATCCTTAACAGATGGAAGTCAAACCACTAAGCGTTTGAATACTCAAATGTTTAACTGAGTTCTTTCAACTCATTTCATTGGAGGTCTGGAAGTAAGATTTTAATGGCAAATGGATAAACGACTCACCCAAAAACGAGTAGCGTCAAAAAGTAAGAAAAAATTGCCGACGCATGCTCCAACCTGATTTAAGTCGATAAAATGCGGTGTCGATTTGCATATCTCAGACTGCACAAGTGAGAGAGTATTTCCAGATTACTTTTACAACTTCAATCTTCCTTTCAATTGACAACATGGGGTTAGAAATACCCGCAAACATCGACACAAAAACACTTACGAAATCTGTGCAAGAATTTATGGGGAACTTCACCTCAAAATATTTCCCAGAGTCCAATGTTACTCACAAAAATACAATTAGCTTGAGATGCATAGAGATTGCATGTCCACATCCACTATGACCAAGTCAATTACACTTATGAATTTTTCCATCGTCCAATCAATCATATTCAGAAACGCCGTAAAATAGAAAATGCTAAACTAGCCAATTCATTATTCCTAGAGTTAAAGCCAATCTCCCTCCTCTCCTTTATACTACATGTACTCACCTGAGCCAATTGTGAGTTTGGTATTCTAATGAGATTGAAGCAGATGAGTGAATAATAAGCTAAACCGAAGTGATGGGGACTCACTTCATGATGTAACGAAAAACCTCTTTCTTGGAAATATCACCATAATCCGACTGCCAGGCATGACCAATGGTGAAACGATGGAAACGAAGCATGTCGGTCACTGGTACTTGGCAAATGGTGGCGGCAAACAAGTCTGGGCGTTGATTTGTGCATACGCTCACCAACAAGCCACCGTTACTGGCTCCTTCGATTACTAATCTAGGGTAAAAAGATATCAAAAGTTCAATTCAATGTGCTGTTACATTACACACAAGCAACTTATAGCTATCTAAGAATAACCAACTTATTGCGTCAAAAGTTTAGAAAAGGCCATACAGAGGCTTTAACTCACGAAACCACCCCAACCTTTAACTTAGATATGCACATTGAATGACCAGGTTTTACGATTATTACTGCAAAATTAAATTTATCACCTTGACCCAAAAATATGACCTAGTACAGATTCACTTTATTATCAACTTGAAAGATTGATAAAACACCAATAGCCGATTGCAAAGTGCCACCATATCTTAGCTACAAGTAAGGCTTAGATTCAACTGAATCTCCACACGCCGTCAACAAATGCGCCAAATATTTTGCGATATCCTACATAACTTTTTGTTAAATGTTCACATTGGAACGAATGATATTGCAAGGTTAATTTCATTTATTTCCTGGTTGAAAAATATATTAACACAACCCATTTATCTCTATCACACCTAGAATAGACAAGGCCTATTTCCAAATGCAAGTTTAGACAGAACCCAGTAACACACAAAAGTGCTGTTCAGCGGTTAATTATTATTTAAATACAGTCCCAATAATTCCTTTCAGCACCTTTACATATTGGCTTACTTTCAGAGAAAGGTAAGTAACATTGGAAATGGAAACAAGTAACTGTTTTTAAATCCAATTCAAAAAGCATACCTATTTGGAGAAGTGTAATTGTTCTTAATAAGAAATTCCGCCCCAGCGATGAAATCATCAAAACAATTTTGTTTATTGAGCAACTTCCCACCCGAGTGCCACTTCTCGCCGTATTCGCTTTAGTAGGAAAAAAAGAAAGGTGATAGCTTTAACAAAAGCATATACGTTACAGTACCAAAAACATTAGAATAGTTGGAGATAAATAAAAATATACGGTTTCAAAATGACTAAGTGCAACATTCAAATTCTGGTAATGCTGCTTAATGCAAAACAAAACCCTACAACAATATCCTTTACAGAAAAATAAAGAGATGGAGCCACTTCCTTAAGACATTCAAATTTATGACGTTTGATAGAAAAACAAGATAAGTTGCGTTTCTTATGGTGTTCTGCTTTCAACACTAATTCTAAGTCATAGCACTGAAGATATTTTCTGTACCGACGACAGAATGATCACAATGTAATAAAACAAGGGAAATTTTGAACAGTTACCCTCCTCCTCGAATATTTGCAACTGCAACAACACCATTAAAGAATTGAAGAAACAAAGGGTACGTAAGATCGTAAAAGGGGTTTATTGGAATGTCAAAACCGCCATATCCGTAGAGAAGGCAAGGAGACTTCCCATTTGCTACAAAGTTCTACAGCAAATAATGATAGTGAGCAATCGTCTTACTCTTTCTACTAATAATACACAAGTAAGTACATACTTTTTTATGTAGAATAAACATAGGAATGCGCGTACCATCACCACTTGAATAGAAAATTTGCTTTGATTCAAAATTAGACAGGTCCAAACCTCTCACTTTTGTTTGGAATATCATCTAAAAGCACATATTAAGTAAATTAAAGTTGCAGTCAAATGAGTCCATAGAAAAAGAAAGCTGATAACTATTTCGGTTACCAACATCAGCTGAATAGGTTCAAAATTGCTACAATTATAATATTAATCATTATTTATACGAGGTTTTACCTATCTTGGCTTCATAACTAACATTCCGAATTTTATCGGCAATAGCATAAAATAAAGGTACATCTTAAGACGTATTGAACGTAAGTTTATGTAAGTTTCGAGCAAAACTACTGGAAACACTAATGCAAACTTAAAGAAACTACCTGTAGCGCTACCTTGTGGTAATAATAGATCAAGGCATTAACTTCTATATACATATCAGCCCCAAGGTGTAGATGGGAAATGAAGGCCTAATTGTTATCTGAAAAAAAACTGCTGCCAAAACAGCGATTTATCGTCCCCACTCCTAAGATGGTCTACCAACTAGTAGATGCCTCTATCTAGTCGATGAAGTAATCTTGATCACAACTAAAAACAAATCAACCCCCCGATCATGGCCCATTCACACTGTTTTATTTACTCTTTTTTATAACGCAACTACTTTTCTATTCCTACATATTTGTACTTTAACTAAATTATCCTGAAAATGCTTTAGCATGAGAAAAAAATGATAGATTAAAGCTTACAGGCAATGGTCAGATCATGTTCTTCAAGAGGAATTTAACACCTTACGTGATTGTAATCTACTTGCTCTAACGGATCTCAGCACACCTGTCACACTTTGACAGCAAGAGAATCATTCTTATCTCTTCGTCCCTAACACACATTTCTTAATATACCTTCTCCTTCCAGGGTGTGCGATAGACTTGCCTCCACGTGGCACACACTGGGCAACGTACCTTCGTACGGCAAAAAAGTCTATTAACCGGCATTTGACTTCTCACTTCAAATTACCACGACCCCCCTGGTTGTCATATTCGACCCCTTCCACAGAACTCACCTTAGCTTTTTCTCTGCCTTTGTGTCTGTTTGCCTCTTTTACATCGGTGAATCGCTCTTCTGTTCCCCACCCCTCGACTTTCTGCTACTTTGATGATCCTCCTCCCCTCTGTGAAGCCTGAAGTCAGCTAAATGGCTAATGACATCTATCAAAACGCCTGTCATTTGAAATAAATAACCTTCTCCTTCCAACTTGCAAAGAATAGCAATAGGCCAACTAGTCATAACTTTCCACACTCAGGGACCTTCCAGTGTCAAAACAAACGACATCATCGAGAAATAGCCACCTCATATTTTTGCAAAATGGTCAATTATCCATCATACTAGAAAGATAAGTGGGGTTAAAAAGCGATTAATAACTT